ACAACTAAAAACCTCTTTAATTTTCCATTGCTGAGTAGCAAAATGTCTATAAACATCAGAAAAGCTGATTTCCCCCAGTTGCTTCTTGCCATAAATACCTCTGGAAGGGTTTTTTTTGCTAACTTGTTTTTCCAGTACCATCAGCCCTGAGTTGGGGTTGTTTGCCTTTATGGTGGGTAAGGTCCATCATGTTGAAGATCTGCAAGTTTTTTAGCCCAAGGCTTGTAGAGTTGAGCTCCATGTGATGAAAAGAGTAAATGTTACAGGTTTAAAACCTGAGGAAATCTTAAAAAAGGGATAGAAAAGCTCCTGCCACAGGAACTAGAAGGTATGGCTTTAAACTGAGAGAGAGCAGGGTTTGATGGATACAGGGAAGGAATTCCTGGCTGTGAGGTGCTGAGACACTGGCACAGGTTGCCCAGAGCAGCTGTGGCTGCTCCATCCCTGGGAGTGTTCCAGGCCAGGCTGGATGGGGTTGGAGCAGCCTGGGCTGGTGGGAGGTGTCCCTGCCCAGAGCAGGGGGTGGAATGAGCTGAGCTTTTATGTCCTCCCAACACAAACCATTCCATGATGATTCTATGCAAATGCAACAAAATTTGACCTGCAGGAGTGTAAAGCTGTGAGTGTGTGAGGCTGGTGCCATCTTGGTTTGGAAAGTCTGGATTGATGATGCTTTGGGCATCACTAGTTCCAAGGTTTGCACCTTTGGATCATGAGAGTTAACGTATTCTTCAATGTGCCATAATAAATATAGATTAAGTATATTTTCCATGTCCTTTCCCACTACCTAGAGTTAGGTATGGTGATGCCTTTTACCAGAATCAGAGTCCAACTTGTTGGCAGTTTCTTTGTGGAAAGAGTAAATTGTGCTGCAGATTCTTCTCCCCACTTGAATGGGAATAGATGTGAATCTCCAGGTGTTAGGGAGACACTTGTGGAATCACCTTGAGCCTATTTAAGAGGATAAAATGTCTCTCAAGAGCTTTGCCCAGGGGTTAATTCAAACTGGGCTCTGTGGGACTGTGATGGGTTTGGGGTAGCAGTGAAGAAGTCCTTGGGGCTCAAAAGAACTAGATATTAGGGATTTTAGCTGCTGCAGTCAAGGGATTCAGCATTGCTTTGGCTGCCTTGGAGCTGGGTGGGTGAAATGGGATCACAGGCTCAGACCTTGAGGCATATTTGTAAGCCAAAGGTGCCCCAAATGCCAAACCACCAGAGAAAAGCTTATTTGGGGACTAAGAGCAAGCTGTAAATCCATATGTTGTAGTTATCTGTTCCCCTAAATTGAATTTATTCAGCCTAAAGCTCTGGGGATTGGGCTGTGCACAAACTCTGTGAGATCCCTCTGGCTTTACCTTCTCCACAGATAACACAGAAACCTTTTTATTAGCTCCACAAAGTTGTTTCTATCCAAGTTGTGTTAGTTTCAGCAGTGGAAATGAGAATAACACCATGAAAAGCTCCAGAACACGCTGAGACTAAATTAGAGTGACAGCACAATTATGGAATAGGTGAAGTTTTCCCAGGGCAGGAGAGGGAAAGCAAGATCCAGGGGTCACAAATTATACAGGAACCTGCTCAGACTTGTGTTATTAAAGGCCTAATATAGAACAATTTGTACCAAACAACTATGGGAGCTCAACAGGAGGAAACCATGGGAAAAATTCATTAACTGCAGGGGAGTTAAACCAAAAATGCTCCAAATACAGCTCAGGTTTGGGGTGGGTTTTTTTGGCTAGTAGGACATGAGAGAAAGGAAAAGGGGATGGGGGAGCAGCCAGCAGTGACCCAGCACCAAAGGGCAGAGCCTAGTGTTGGCAATTTGATCTAACACATCATCTGAATATTTAAACCATTTATTTATACAAATGTACAGCATTTACAAGAGTTAAAAAATTAGCCGTTTAAAAGCAATATCACATAGAGCCTTGAGAATAAATATGGTGCAGCTCAGCATTTATGTGGCTTAAAAACCACCAGCAGGTTAGGGGCAGGCAGAGCACACCAACCTGGTGGTGCAGGGAAGGTCCTGGGTGGGTTCCCAACGTCAGCTCAGTCACTTTTCTTAAGATCAGTGGCCAAAATCATAGAATTTAGGGGTTGGAGTGGACCTTGCAGCTTTCACACTGGGATATATTAGAGTCAAACACTCTAACTCATTTTGACATAAAATTTTGAGAAGTTTAGGATAACATTTGTATAGTATAGTTGTCTCTGCTATAAACAAGAAAGTGCTAGACTTGATGGAGCCAGAGACCTCTTTTGGGCCTGTATAATTTATTCTAGGTGGCAGGTGAACTGCTACAGAGCTTTTGATTTCTGTAAAGTAAGGCTAAAACTTGTAGTTTTTCCAGTAGTTAACCAAGGTGTCCCAGACTGGAATTCCATGTATTTTCCTTCTCATTTTGTTGCATTTCTCATGTAATGAATCAGCCCTTGAAAGGCCAATTTTCTTCCACTGGCTACAAAGGGAGTTGAATTATTACCTCTCTAACACCAATAACTAAATTGGATCAGCAGCATCCTCAGGCTTTGAGGGTAGAGAGCACTACCAGGTGCCCTAAAAGGTCTCTGGTCTGGTTGAGGTTCACCTAAACACAGTGTGGAGATCCTCTCTGACCTGTTAGTGCCCAACTAGCATTGGAGCCTGTGTCATCTCACTGCAGGCACCTTTCAGGTGCTGCTGGTGGTCCTAAAATCCAACATCTTGGGAAGGAATCTAGCCATTCCTGCAGCTCAGCCCTTCTGGTTGCACCTCTCTGGCTCAGAGGTACCTACCACAGCTCAGGCTTGTTAAGTAACATGGAAACTGCAAAATGTATCTGGTCTGAAGGCAAACTGAGAGCTGGGAATGTGCAGCCTGGAGAGGAGAAGGCTCCAGGGAAACCTTAGAGCCCCTTCCAGTGTCTAAAGGGGCTCCAAGAGAGCTGAGAGGGACTTGGGACAAGGGGTGGAGGGACAGGACACAGGGAATGGCTTCCCACTGCCAGAGGGCAGAGACAGGTGGGATATTAGGAAGGAATTCTTGGCTGTGAGGTGCTGAGACACTGGCACAGGTTGCCCAGAGCAGCTGTGGCTGCTCCATCCCTGGGGGTGTTCCAGGCCAGGCTGGATGGGGCTTGGAACAGGATTGATTTTTGGAGTCTCCAGACATAGGTCAAACTTGCATAGAATAACAGATTGCAACTACCCTCTTAATATTAGAAATGTGTGAGCAATTCCCAGGAGGAGTGAAAGGACAGCACAAGGCAAGGTGTGGCTGTGAGTGAGCTCAGCTTTGCCTTCAGTTCACTTTTATTTAGCCTCTCCTCAGAAATAGCAGTTTTATATAAAAGAAATATCAAAATTTAACAGTGCTTGAAGGTCAATTTTCACAATGATGTAGATATAAAAGCTTTAATACATACATATTTTCATCACATCCCCAAGCAAAACACACCAAGGCTTCCAACCTGCTTTCCTTCCCCAGGGAAACCACCTGAAACTACATGTGCTGCTCCTCCTTTGCCTGCAATAATCCTCCCTGGAGGTCAGGCCAAAGGCCACAACACTCAGTTCAGCCCTTGCTTGCTCAGCTCTGCAGGTTCCTCACTGTTAAGGGTATCCCACATGGATGAGGACTTGCTCAGACTCTCTAGGAGCTCTTGGCAAAGCATTTGGATTCCATTTGACCTTCCTTCATCTGCATTTCACTAACTCACCCAAAGCACTTCAGAGCATGAACCTAGTGGAACTTGATCAAGCCCAAGTTACCTTGGAGCACAAGCAGCCAAAATTAGCTCATAAAAGAACAATTTATGACTAATAGAAGTTTGGCTTAACTTTAAAGCAAGTCCATGACACCTTTCTATCACCAACTTTGCAAGACAAAGTTGATTCTGGTTTAAAATTCATTCAAAACATTATATATATATATTTTTTTTTTTCCTGATAATTTATAGCTATCTTACAAGGCTTCCTGACTTGCAAAATATCTATTTTTTTCCCAGCAATATCAGCATTAAGAATCTTTCAAGCACTTTAGACCCTACTCAACATAGAAAAATAAATACTGCATACATGATTTGCAAGCAAAACACGAACCACAGGTCACCCAACACAGCTGTAGCTGATAGAAATCCATACTGCAGAGCAGGAATACAGTAAATAATATCTCAGAGGCTACTGAGGGTCAATTTTCTCTCTCAGACTGTAGGGCTGGTGCTAAAACATGAAAACAATGTCCTAAAACAACAGGAATCTGTTGGTTTGTGAGTATCAACATCTCAACCTGGAGATCCACCAGCTCTCCATCCTCCTCACAGCTGAGGGTCAGGGACAACACACCTCTAATCACATCAGAGCAATGATTTGGAGAGTTTCTCTAGTCCAGTTTATAAACCCCAGTGATCTTCTGCATGTCCTGGTGTGAAGGGCTGTGGGTTGGCTCTTCATGCTGCTGGACAACACCTTGGTCTGCTCCAAGCTGCTGCTCCCTTGACCTCACCCTTTCCAGGTGCTGCTTCCTTGCTGCAAATTCCTGCCCTCTCCAAGAGGACACTGCAAAGACACCTTGACTATGTGTTATTTACCATGTGTTCTCAAAGGGGTTAAGGAGACACTGGAGTTAGTGCACTGGGAAATGCTAACGAGGACATTCCCGATGAGTAAGTGATGATGTGATGTAGTACTTGTAAATCAAATTTCTTCATGGAGATAAGACATTAAGAAAATGTTAGGTTGGGCTTGATGATCTTAAAGGTCTTTTCCAACCTAAGTGATTCTGTGAAATCCATAAGCATTGGGCTTGGTCATGGATTCTGGCAACATTTTCCATGAGTTTCTTCAAAAACCAGTAGAGGCATGGAGTTTTTTTACATCTTTTGGATACATCCAGATCCCAAGCTCATGAGTCCATCACTACCAAGAACCCAGGAGGCAAACCAGCCTTTCACAGCCAACTGCAAAGCTCAGGCTCCTTGGGGAGAGGTCAGACACCCGTGCAGATGTTCTCCCCTGGCTCAGCTGCCTGTCCCTGGCAGTGTGACCCAGTGCTGTGACATCAGGCCCAGCCAGAGACAGGCTGTGGTGAGCAGGATGGGGTGTGACAGTCTCTGTGTCTTGTTGAGGGGGGCCAGGGTGGTGAACACGGCGTCTGTGGAGTTCTTTGGCAGGGGCAGGTTGCAGATGGAGCCTTCGCAGCAGGAGGTGCACACCTGGGAGCAACCAGGTTGGAGATTGGTTATTTGGTGAACAAAGTCAGGGAAACTAACATTCCCTTTCCACCCCTCACCCTTTTTGTAATCCAACTACTTAGAGAATTTTCCCCCTTCTTTATTCTTTCCAAGATAAACTTCATTTCTCAGAGTCACAGACTCAATGAGGTTGGAAAAGAACTCTGAGATCATTAAGTCCAACCTATGACATAACACCACCTTGTCAACTAAACCATGGCACATCCAGTCCAACCCTAAACACCTCCAGGGATGGTGAATCCACCACCTCCCTGGGCAGCACATTCCAGGGTCTAATCACCCTTTCTGTGAGGAAATTGCTCCTGATGTCCAACCTAAACCTCTCCTGGCACAGTTTGAAGCTATGTCCTCTCATCCTGTCACTACCTGAGAGAACACCCTGACTCCACCTGACTCCAACCTCCTGCCAGGGAGTTGCAGAGGGTGATGAGGTCTCCCCTGAGCCTCCTCTTCTCCAGGCTGAACACCCCCAGCTCCCTCAGCCTCTCCTCATGCCACTTGTGCTCCAGTCCCTTCACCAAGGATGATACTGATTGAACCAGTCAGACTTGTGGCTGAGCCCAGAAAGATTCTACCCAAATTTTATGTATAAAAAATACAATTTTTGTCCTCTACCTTGTATTCTTCATGCTTTATGTACGTGCATCCTGTAGCCAGACAGTCCTCTAATGGCACACAGCGTTTGGTGACCGAAACGCTCTCACCAGTGACTTTCATCATATGTTGGCTAAAGCAATACCTTGTACCTGCAAAAAAGAGAAAAAATGGGTTTAGCTGTCAAATTTGAGGTTTTGGTAGCCTACAAATAGGAAGAAGTAGAAAAGAAGCCTTGGATTTTTCTCAAATATTGGGATTTTTGGACGTATTTATCACAGTGTATAATGTGACTAAATACACATCCACCTCCTCCAAGGTCTGAGCAATCCTGTGGTTTCAAAGCACTTTGGAATACAGAGATTTGTTCCCAGTAGGAAAAAAAAAAAGATTCTATATACATACAATAAATTACTATAGATATCATATATATACAATATACAACCTAAATTTTATACTCTTAGATAATATATAAACTTCCCCCCCCCCAGTTTCATGCACAACCATTAATTCTGTACAGTTATGGTTTGACACATTGGAGACTCTTTTCCCTCTACCCTAACAACCCCTGGAAGTTGTCCTCATGCTCACAACTCCAGTCCTGACTCTCCCATGGCTTCTGCACAGTTAAGAGAAGATTCTTCACCCTCTCTGTCCCTCCCTTTTATCATCTATATAATAATGCCAAAATTCCAGCAGAAGAGTCAGGAAGATTGATATATTTCTCAGTTTTCCAGGCTTTGGAATAAGCACTATGACATGGACTGTGTCCCTGCTATTTCCATTGCATCTTCTGCATGCTCATCCCCAAGGGACACCATCCTCCTCCTCCTCCTCCTTTTTATAAGCTAAATCACACCAAAACTTCACAGCTGAATGACTTTCTAATGCTGTGGTTATTTATCCCCAGGCATGAGGAATTTGGGGGTATTTCCTGCTTTAGATGTTAGAAGGAAGCTGAAGGTGCTGCTCCCCTTCCTCCAAGCACTCCAAGAGGAAAACAGTGGATTTTCAACACAGGAAACACATCATTATAGATCTGTGCTCTGACCCTCCTGAGTGGGAATGGACACACAAAGATCATCAATTCAACTCTTGGCCCTGCCCAGGACACCCCAAC